GGCAAGAAAACAGTCCAGACTGTAACATGATGCAAAAAGCTGCTTAGATTTCAACTTGTTTACACAACTTTTAGAAGCTACTCAAAAATATAAAGCTGCATCGTGGGTAAAAGTGGCACCATTTACTCAATTTTTTACAGTTTACTTGATCAGAGTAACAAAGAAATTTAGAAAAATGAATAAAATAAGCAGAAGTCAAACAAAATATGGTTGTGACACTGACCTAAATCCATCCATCCATTATCTTCCGCTTATTCCGGTCGAGTCGTGGGGGCAGCAGCTTGATCAGGGAGGTCCAGACATCTCTTTCCACAGCCATCTCTTCCAGCTCTTCTGGTAAGACTCCAAGGTGTTCTCAGGCCAACCAAGACACATGGTCTCTCCAATGTGTCCTGGGTCTTCCCGGGGTCTCCTCCCAGTCAGATATGCCCCAAGCACCTCCCGATGGAGGTGCCCAGGGATCATCCTTACCAGGTGCCCGAACCACCTCAACTGGCTCCTCTCGATGTGGAGGAGCAGCAATTCCACTCCAAGTCTCTTCTGGATAACTGAACGTCTCACTCTATCTTTACGGGCGAGTCCAGCTACCTTGTGGAGGAAACTCATTTTCACCACTTGTATCCACGATCTCATTCTTTCTGTCACTACCCAGAGCTCATGACCAAAGGTGAGGTTAGGAATCTAGACCAACCAGTAAACAGAGAGCTTTGCCTTACAGCTCTGCACCTTCTTCACCACAATGGACCAGCACAGACTCCACAATACTGCAGACACTTCACCAATCCATCTGTCGATCCCCCACTCCATTCTTCCCTCACTCATGAACAAAACCAGACACTTGAACTCATCCACTTGAGGCAGAACCTCAAACTCAACCTGAAGAGAACAATCCTCCCTTTTCCGACTGAGGACCATGGCCTCAGATTTAGAGGTGCTATTTAGCTGTTTTCTTCAAATACTGAGCATTAAAGTGTTTTGACAACAATAACTCAACTAATTATACCCACATAAGCAAAAAAGATTGTTTTGTCCTGCAAACTTTAGTTTACTACAGCTGGTAAGGATTGTCAACATAGGCCAATGCATTAATGTGATAACCATGACGACATAATTTATGCTGCCTGCGTCCCAGAAGTCTCATCTCCATCTGTTTCTGTGTTTCTTCTCTGCTCCAGAGGAAGAGCTTCAGTGAGAGTTTAAGTCACTCATTTCATGTACGTCATGATTAATTTGGCGAGTCGTTTTTCCACGGCACTTTGTCACATTTTGCTTTTTTCATTTCTTTACTTGTCCGCCTCACAAGGGTAATGTTAGTAGCTTATGAAGTATTCACAAATGCTTCAAGTTTACTTCGCAAAGCTATTTATTAAATTATGAATTCAGCAGACATTTTCCTTCCTCGTGGACTTGCTTTAGAAGACTTGTGTGCCCTTGGTGACAGAGCTTTACTTGCACTGTTCTGCCAAACGAAAATGTTGCATGTTTTTTTGTAAAAGGTATTTTCTTTCTGACACTACTTTTAAACTGCTGAAAGGTGAATCATTTTGCACATCAACACTTCACAGATCATCTGCCGCCGTCACAGCTCAGGGCAGCTGTGTTAAAAAGACACATTCTCTGAGGTCAAGATTTATAAAAAGAGGATTTATTGCCTTGGCAGACGTTTAGAGAGAGAAGTCTCTGTATACTGAAAATCGAGACAAGTAGTCGCAGAAATAATAAAAGACAACTCTGACTTTTTATTGTAAAAAATAAAGTCAACTAGGTCAGAGTCCTGCAACGAATGCAATAAGAGGGCCAAATGGACTTGTGGCTGAGGGAACCCGTATTTCTTTTTGGGACATTTTTATACCGTCCTAATAATTCAGTTCCCAAGGTAAAGTGCAGATCAGGAAAATATTACCCAGGCTGCAGACTGTGGGGTGCTTTGTGCATTGGAATTGTCACATTTTGATTTGTGAATCTTTGGGAGAGCTCAGCAGGGACTCACATTCATTTAGGCATTATTCTGTTGTGATGCATTTTGTCTTTTATGCTCGCCCAATATGCTTGCTTCCCTGGGAGGAAAGATTGATCGCGGCTGTCATTGCATGATGACACATGGAGCTCGTGGTAAACTTTGTCACAGTGCCGGTCTCATCCTAAACTCCCTGAGGAGGCTGCTCCAAAATCCACATCTTTCACTAGTGTTGAGTTAAAACTGACACGCATGCCATTTAAACCCTTTCAGCTGGGTTCCCTGAATATTATCAATCTACAGATCAATGATTTACACTTAATGTTTTATCCATCCATCCATTATCTTTACCCGCTTATTCCTTTCCAGGTCATCAGGGTCACTGTGCGAGAGGTGGAGGACACCCTGGACAGGTCTCCAGTCCATCACAGGGACACATGGAGACAAAGACAAACAACCATTCACTCTCTCACTCACACCTAGAGACAATTTAGAGTCACCAATCAGCCTAACATGCATGTTTTTGGTCTGTGGGAGAAAACCGGAGCACCTGGAGAAAACTCACACATGCACGGAGAGAACATGCAACTCCACCCAGAAAGGTCTGGGATTTGAACCACTGACCTTCTCGCTGAGAGGCAGCAGCTCTACTAACTGCGCCATATA